GAGAGGAGAGGAAACCATGGCAATAGGGAGAGAAATGAACTAATAGGGCACTTGTGCTATGAAGGCGGGATGTGAAAGATAGATGAAGAGTGAACAAAAGGCCAGTACAGACCGTGAGGGAAGGAGGACATACAATACAAAGGGTGTTTGAGATGAGTTGGTCAGAGCAGTCCAAAGAGTCCCAAAATAATCAAGGTGATTGATGTTGCCCTTGGTTACCTCCCAGAACTTGGAGTTGAGACCCCATTACTTAAGACGCCACACACTTCAGACAAAGGACTTGAAGCACTGAGTTGGGAATAACCTGGAATTTTCCTCCCTCTTAGTGACTTAGTTAGGATTTTTATTGCCGCATTGAAAGACCACAAGCAAAAATAATTTGAGGGGGAAAGAATTTGCTTGGCTTAAGCTTCCACAACACTTCATCACTTGAAGGAAGTGAGGACCAGAACTCAAACAGGGCAAGAACCTGGATGCAGGAGCCAATGGAGAGGCCACAGAGGAGTCTACTTATTGGCTGGCTCATCTTGCCTTACTCAGCCTGCTTTTTTTATAGAACCCAGGACCACCAGCCCAAGGGTGGCATCACCCACAAATGGCTGAGCTCTCCCCAATAAATCACTAATTAAGAAAATGCCCTACCGGCTTGCCTACAGCCAGATATTATGGAGGTATTTTATCAATCTGGGCTCCCTCCTCTTTGATGACTCTAGCCTGTGTCAAGTTGACATAAAATTAGCCAGCACACATAGTACCTAAAGATGGTGTGTAAATTATCAAGGGAAAAAAACAACCAATAGTTGTACCCAAATGTAAACTCTATCCCAAGGATGCAATAGTGGCACGTATATCTTGGAAGTAACCAACAGCTTGGGGGTAAATATTGGGTAACCTGGACTTAAAGCCCAATAAATAGATGGGGATTCATGGCTAGTCCTGTAAAGTTTGCCGACTAACAGTGTCTAATGAAATCATGAAATCTATGGGAGATCACGTTACTACCACTTTCCTAAAACAATGGAATGTCTAGCTCCATTCTAAATATATATCCTTATGCCTACAAATAAGCATAGCTCCCATCCCTCATTAAAGAAGTTCCTTTTGCAGCAGACAGAAAGCCATAAATGATCAAACTGCAAAGAAAAACTGGCCGTGGGTTGTCCAGCCTCAACCAATAGGTCGACAACACAACACATATACCTAAAAGTCAGGAATCATTGTAGAAGAAGTGGAAAGGTTGTAAGAGCCAGAGGACCAAGATGTCTGCTGTGTTATAGTGTCTTCTGCACACGACAGAATTGCTGCACACGTGAGCTTCTCAAAGACGCGGTCACCTAAACAAGCTTAACAATCTAGCTGAAGTACACTGTGGATAGTGTAAATCTCATTAGGTTCTACTCCTAGATAAAGATCTATAGATAATTAATGGCCCTTGTGAAAGGGAGAATCAGTTTTATATAGGGAGGTGATCGCTAATCCACTCTCCAGCCACTAGGATTATCCCTAAATACATAAACACATAAATAATATTAACCAAACTCAGCAAGCTGTACTTGTATACATATGTGTGTATGTATATGCAGGTGTATATATGTGTATATAAGTATAAGACACTAATTAAAGAAAAGCTCATAGATTTAAGAAAGAGTTAGGGGGACAGGAGAAGAGTTTGGAGTAAGAGGGCAAAGTAGAAATTGTGTAAATGCAGCACACGTGTATGAACTTTAAAATATAAAAAAAGATAATTTAAAAATATAAAAATATACTTGGTAAATGCCATAATTATATGACATCAAATTCATTACTATTTCTCTATAGGAAACTTAAAATCATTCATAAACAATGGCTCCCTTTACAGATGGTAATTCAATGATACTTAGAAATTATGATACTTGTGAAACAAGGACTCATAGAGAGCTTCGTTTCTTTAATATAGAAGGAAAAGCTTCATTAAAGATCATCAATCTTTAATTTTGGAGATCTATTCAAAATAGACCTTATACTCTACTTTCTTAAGACAGGCTTATAAAACAGAATCACATGTAAACATGATGTGACATAAAAACTATATACAAAAAAATAGATTAATCACCTGCTTAACTATTGGGGGTGTGTTTATTTTATTGTTCTTGTGTGACTCTATTGGAATAACCACATTCCTTTCCATTTAGAAATTTAATTCTGGAATCAATGGTATACAAACCATACATATAGATTATCCACACATTTTTACACATATGAGAAATTTTAAGATTTTCTAAACATATACAAATCCAGGAATTCACCAAGGGATACCATCAAAATAGCAAAATTGTATCTAAAAGCAAAAGGAATATCTATTGATTCTAAATTCATAAAAATAAAATATAGGACTTAATATGTTATAGGTATACTTCATACCAATAATAATAATTAAAATAATTTCTATTTAATGAGAAATTATTGTGTAATCAAGCCCTTCCTACCATTGGAGCTAGGTGTAATCATTACTTTTAGTTTGCAGACAAGGAAAAAGGTATGGAGTTAAAGAGTCTATTCCTTATCAGTAAGAGAACTTAAAATGAGTTTAAAGCTAAACAAATAAATTCAAAATGACTGTAATATTCGTAAGTTTTAATAATGGTACATACTAATATGATATGCCATCAACAACATGTTGTGCTTCACATTATCTTTATGAAAGGTCAAACAAAAAGCTAGTAATTGTGACTAACCTTGATTAAAAACACCTGGCAATCGCTGATATAGTCATATTCCAACCCATCAAAGGAATGATAATGCCGGTCCCCATATACTGTGCACACTGCAGGACATGGATAATACGTGCAATTGAACATTCCCCGTCGACAAACACTAATAAAAAAATATAACAAGTTATTTTATGGAGCAATTGGGTTCTAATTAGAATTTTTATTTTTATTTAATGTATATGGGTATTTTTGGCTATCTGTATTTCTGTATAGTATGTGTGTGCATAGCACCTCTGACAGCCAGAAGGAAGGATTGGATTCCCTGACACTGGAAATCAAACTAGGGTCCTCTGAAAGAGTATCCAGTGATCCTAACTGACAGTCATTACTACAACACTAGCATTTTCTAGTAGCCTAAATGTGTACTCAGAAGCATTCGGAGTCAAGAATCCTTATAGATATTGCCAGTTCATTCTCAGAATGCCTATTACATTGACACATTTGTCATGCATCTACATTTATAGTACTAGACACCAAAATTAAATCTGGGACACACAGAAAATAGATAACAGAATGAGAAGTGAGAGTAGGCCTACAAGCTCCCAGAGAGCATAAACCTTTTAGACAGTTTAAGCTTCGTGGATACTATCATCAAAATTTTAGAATATTTGTGCATATTTTAAGGAAACTTTAGCAAGACATAACTATTTTTGTGGCGCTGTGCTTACTGACTTCCAAACAGTCAAATATGTGTTGAATAAACCTCTCTCTTTAGAACACTTAGCATTTTTTCTAAGTTTGTGGTATTTCTATTAGGTTGCCAAATTGTCATACTTCATACTTCTCTCCTAGGCTAGTAAAGATGCATTTTAAATGCCATGGTCCCCTCGTAGAAAGGAGCCATTCAATCCCCAAAGGCCTGCAGCTCCAATATACAAGCTTGATTCTGATTCACTTTTGCTAGTCACACATGTCAAGTCACGGCAGTATAACAGTTTATATTAATACAATTGCTGAGGAAAACTTCTGTGGAATAAATGTCTGTTGTTACCAGGTGTAACAAGGTGTAGAGATGACTTCCCCTGAGACATACTCCCAGTCTTTCCAGATGCAGGGACAGCTTTCAGGAACATAGCATTTTCCTTTGTGCTCTGCCATTCTTCCAAGTGAAGAAGAAAACATGGTTAGAAAACCTGTAAGTGTCAGATGGACTTGTACTCTATAATAATTTTAATATTCAACACTGTCTTTTACATTGAAGGATGAATCTGGTTTTCCTTCTTATCCCCACATGGTCCTGGTGTATCCCAGGATTAACTAAATGCCAGGCACATGATCAGATATGACTTAACCTTTTGTTATATGGCACCAGAAATATAAAACAGAAGAGTACATTTCTAATAGTTGTTCTAGAAAGAGCACATCTGAATAGAAAGTAGATGTCCTGACCATCACTGTTTGCTGCCATGGAAGTCTGCATTGTCTGATCGTCCCTAGGGATACAGTAAATAATGAAATAAATGAATAAATGATGTTTTCTGCTAAAGAATTAGCAAACAAGCTTGTTTCTCAGTGCTAAGATTTTAAATGATGATGGTTTGATTTAGATGTATTTAAATGAAAATGTACAAAGTATTTCCCATTCCTTTTTATTATTGTGTTGTTTTGAATGTTAGTGGATAGCTGATAGGTTTTTCATACCTAATGAAAACCCAGAAGGAGAAGGAAGACATGGTCTTTTTGTATCTGTTTTGTTGTCAGGGAAGGATCATGCAATAAACAGTAACTGGATACCTACAATGTAACTGGTGTGCTGTGATATACTCAGCCATCCATGAAACAAATACCACTACAGTCATTTGAAACTTGCTTCCAAGTTTATTTAATAAGGATGACCAATATTTGAAGGCATTTATATTGTCTTTTCCTCTACTTTGCATTATTCTAGTGTAGTGGTTTCTAAACTAGATCCATATAGACCTTTTATAGACTCTGGCTCTGTAAGAATCTCTGGAAAAAATACATTATATAATGAGGTATTGCCTCAACATGAGCCAGGAAAGGTCACAACGAAGAGATGATAACTTGAGATCACCATCATCGACATTTTACTAGATGTTTCTTTGCAAATTTTTCCCAAAACAATCAGAAGGATCTCAGTAGATTTTAGCTCTGTCTACTTCAATGCAGTTTAGGAAGGAATCGTGGTACTTCTCACATTTTTTAACAAGGTTCAATCAGGAAATAAATGTCAGGCTTGAACCAAAAATTAATGATTATAGATAATAAACAGCAGCAAGCACTCTATCCGAAATAAAATTTAGACACGGATTTAATTGGCCATGTACGGTCACAATCAAAAAAATCAAGCAATGTTGCAGGTTTTAATTATTTGACCACAACAAATATTTTCTTTCCCTTGTCATTTGGACAAATTGTTTTCCTTGCTCATTCATTTTATGGCCTGATTTCCACCAAACTTTTCTTTTTCCCCTTGTGTGTGTGCTCTTGTCTACTGTGACCTTCTTTCTCTCCCTCATATGCCCTTCTCTTCTGAGCAGATTGATACCATTCCAAGATACTTGGCTCTTTGGAGCCATTTAGACAAAGGAGATTCTCCTGGGAGATAAACCACAAGACCTCCCTCCTATGCCCTTGCTTTTTATGAGTTGATCCTGGGAATGTCTTTGTGGGACTTGTTCATTGAGGAAGAATGAGTGGCCTATTTACCTGAGATGGCTCACTCTCTCTCTGTCTCTCCCTCCCTCCCTCCTTCCCTCCCTCCCTCCCTCCCTCCTCCTTCCCCTCCCCTCCCCCTTCTCTCTCCTCTATTCATCATTAGACAACCAAGAACAGGGAGAACTGAATATATGTGTGTCTACACGGAAGCTAAGAGTCTCCATATTCTTTATCTGTCCAGGTATATGCTATTTTTACAACTGAGTGAAATATATAAAGAGGAGATAGCCTGAAATTAAATTGTTATTCAAATATATTGTATACACTCTATGCCACACACACACACACACACACACACACACACACACACTTATTAGTCTTACAACATCTTACATATCATATAATGCCTATCTAGTTGGGGATTGAGAAGAATATATGGGGGAAAATCATTTAGTTAACAGTGGCAGAGCTGAAATTTGAACTCTGATGTGAATAAAGTCAGAATTCCCACTAAAAGTACTGCCCCCTATTTAGCATCAATATAGTAACCTATAACATTTGTAATTAAAGTGGTTGGCCTAACTATTACAAATTAGTGTCAATGACAATTCTTGCAGCAATAGAATATATATACATCTATACATATATGTATATATATGATGATAAACACATATATAGTTATATGTTTATTAAAATAAAAAATAAAATTATATATAATGTATAATTTTTTATATATATATGTATATATATATATTTGATATTTTGGAGAAATCCCAACTTTTCCTTAAACTGTGTTCTTTCTTCAATGTGGTGCATGACTCTAGTTATATTGCACTGTTAAATTAGCCTAGCCTAGCAAAATAGTTACAACAGTCTGCTAGTACCAACTCAAAGTTAACTAACCACTGTTCACAACAATGATTTTGGCTATTCTTAGTAAAGAGTATTTTTAAATTATTTCTGTGTATGTGTGTGTGTGTGTGTGTGTGTGTGTGTATGTGTGTGTGTGTGTGTGTGTGTGTGTGTGTGTGTGTAAGAGGAGGGGGTGCATACATGGGCCTATGAGTACCATGAAATGAATTTCAGAGGACAACTCGATATTATCAACTATCTCTTTCCACCTTTCTGTAGATTTGAGAGATCTATTTCAAGTCATTAAGCTAACGGGCAAGCTCTATTAACCACTTAACATTATCTAGGTGGCCCTAGCACACCTTTAAGAGACTTTAATTTTCCTTTAAATCATGAATGATTGTACTATCAAGTAAAGGGAACTCACCCTGCTGCACAAACGCAGCCGCTGATGCAAGGCGAGGATGGGGCACAGGTGAAGTTCATGGCCAGGTTTGCACACGTGGTCTCACAGTTTATGCCACCAGCTGGTAATTCAGGGTCAGGAAACCTGCAGTCAAAATATTCCTTCCCTTCTGGGCAGGCGTGGACTTCAGATATAAACATGGATGACATGGCTTTAACTTTGTATTTGCCCCAGAACAAATACAAATACAAATTACGCGTACAAATCATCTGAACAAAACCCATTGACCAGATCATCACTCTAGTGAAAGAAAGCTCTCATTCTCTGATCCTCGAGTTTAGGAGCTTAGCGGCATGGCCCAGTCAGAGTCTGTTCCATCTCAAAATTCCCAAAAGCTGTTTCAAACCTGAAAACCTTAGCCACCTTCCCCCGCAATTCACTAAATAACTAGCATATAGTTTCTTGAAGTCAACAAGAGCAACAAAAAATGCATGGTATGTTGATTAATTCAAACACATCAATTAAGGACTGAAAGCTACAATACATATTTAGACATTTACAAAGCCATAATAAATACATGTTGCTTCTTGATCTTGCCTTGCCTCTGAGTCATTTTGTTCATCAATCTTTGTTGCACTGTACAGAGTACTACAGAGACACCTGTTACGAGGCGTGACCAGAGGTGGGGTGGGGTACTTGTTTCCCAGAAGGTTTTGGGGCTGTGAGGAACCAAATAAGACACTTGCACGGAACCCCAAGAATAGATTTGTGAGGACTCAATTGAGAAAGCAGGCTACCTAGTAATCTCTGCTTTAACTGTGAGCTTTAAGAGGGGCATAGTGAAGTAGCTATTGTGTTAGTTTTGAGGCCCAATAAGATGTCCTGTAGAGAAGCCCCAGGCTGACCTAAATTCTGACAAAGTAAATCTAGAAAGTGTAATTCAAAGAGCATTTTATTGTTTTGTTTTGTGTTTTAAGGGAGAGGGTCTTACTATCAAGCTCAGGTTGGCCAGCAATTCCTGCTTCTGGGTTAGCCTCTTTAACGAGAAGTATAGATAGATACTTGTCACTATGCTCGGCTCGAAGCTGATTTATAGTGATGTACATTCAAATAAGTAACCGAACCCTAATATCCCTATCTAACAGAATGGAAATCAAGAGTTGTCATTTGTCCATAAGTTATTTATCTGACAAAAATCCAGATTTATACAGTCCTCTAATTTGTAAATCTTCAGGTTACATACTCCAATGGAAAGTTACAGTCTAAGAAATAGCAATGGATATATTTTATAAATCTTTGTTTTTAGTTTCCATTTTTATAACAGAGTCTTACATAAGCCAGGTTTGCTTCTAACTATGCATGGCTGCTCTGTCCTCGAAATCTGGATTGCCTAACCTCTGCTTCCTCGGTGCTAGATTACAGGAGAGGGCCACCATACTCTTGTTCTATGCTATTTTTTCCATTTGTTGCAAGTAATCCTAGAACCTAGTTTCCTAGACACATCCCTGAACCTACAAGTACTGACATTACCTTGGCCATTGGTAGACATTCATAATCTCTGGCGTTTTTTCTCATTCAAAATCAGGACCTATGTCTTAACAAGATCACCAGTTCATTGTGTGGATATTAGAAGCTGAGAAGTGTTGGTCTAGGATAGAATTTTCTGCTTTCTGATCCATGACTATATTACAACTAGTATCTGGGTTATAACCCTAAAGTCGTTCAGGTACCTGAGGTGGCACTGAAGTAGACAATATAAAAGCTACATGCCTGACTGGCCATTGATGTTTCTAAGCAACCTTATATACTTACTTCCCACTGTCCTGCGAATAGTGTAATTTGTGATGTGAAAAATCATTGGAATCATTGGAACACAGTTCTGACTGCATGCTACTACTATGTGCCGGTGCTTGGGTTAGGAGGCTTGCAAAAGTCTCTGAAGAGTATGAGGCAGTTCGAGATGCACACTACCCGGGAAAACATTTATCTGGAACTCACCAGTAGAGGGTGTTGCTGGCTCATCACACTTCACAGTCCCATTTGAACACTGGCTAGAATTAAAGAAATAGTTAATTTATAGACCTAGATCTTGAGTTTTATACAAATAAATTATTCCCTTCAGTCCAGCTCTAAGACAGCTATCTAATTTTGATGTATTTTATCAAACACCTCCATGTAAAGGGCCTTGTGAGCGACAAGAGGATTAAAAGCTCCACGATATGGCTAATAGCCTGACCCAGATGCTTATATTCTAGTAACAGAGGAAAATATACAATTAATTTATACAACATGACACACTCAACACAGAAATACATCTACAATCTAAAAACAACATTTAAAAACCTATTTAAAATCTGTTCCTAACTGACATTTGCGTGGTCAGAGGGAATAAATCCTGAGCTATTCTAAAGAATGGATGAAGGTTATGACTTGGATCAGAAAGATTCCTGTGCTCTATGGAAATATATAAACTACAAGACAGAATATTGCTCTGCTTAATCAGGTGCCAGGAGATAAGGTGGGCAAATGGAGGTAAAGCCAGCCCCTGCTCTGAGGCTGAACTATCAAAGGCTTTAATCACAGAAGTCAGCTTGAACCTCAGGACAACCATCCTGGCAGCATGACTGAAAATGAATTCAGTCACTGTACCATGAAGAGGGAAACAACGTAGAGACACATGAACCTGGAAACTCCTTAATAGTATAACACAATGAACACACACACACACACACACACACCAGACCCTTGGAAACCCTGGCACAGATTTCCCTTCAGCTTCAGAGCAGACCATGCGTTCTATGTTCGCAAAATGAAGAAACCAACATATCAAGAGGCAGATCACAGGAAAACCATGCACATGCCTCCCTAAGCTTCAGAATGTCACTCAGAGGTGTGCTGGCCCATACTGCCAACATAAGTCATAAAGGAAATGAGACGGCCAGCTCTACATATGATACTTCTGGGTTGGGGACATTTGACAGGGGTCCAAATAAGGTCATTGTGCTAAATATTTTTATTTTGCCACTAAGTAGGGATGGTTTTATTTTACTAAATTAAAAAAAAATATTTTAAGGATATTGATTTTTTTTTTAAAAAAAAGGCTCTTCCAACACTTGGAAGGAGACTACAGACGAGGAGACTAGTGTGCCATTGTTTTACTATGGTTTCTTCAGTCCCAAACTCATGTTAAGGATTGTCCCCACAGTGATGCTGCCGGAAGGTGAGACTTTAAGAGGTGCAGCTTAAGGCACAAAGTGGTTTGGTCATCACTTCTAAAAAGGATGAATATGCTTATTACCTGAAGTGAATCATTATTAGTCTCTCAGAACTGAACAGTTTACAAGGGTGAATTATTATAAGAAGATTTGGCTTCCTTGACTCTCTGTTCCCTGTGGACCCAACACTCTTAGGCTACTATATGAGCTAAGTAAACCTTTATAAAGTGGCCAGCTTCTGGTGTTTTGTTATAGCAATGTAAAACAAAGACAATTTTTTAGAAAGGGGCAGGGAAGAGAAGAATGGATTTCTCCTACACGAAGAAAACAAAGCCAAGTTAAATCAAGGGTTTATGGGTGTGTTGAGCATAAGGAAAAGTCAGAATTATTCTCAGAATTCTGGCTTGGGAAGCTGTAGATAGTAGTATATTCTACACAGGAAAAGATGCAACAGTTTCTTTGTGTCTTAATCAGGGGGTGGTGGGGAAAAGATGGAATTAGTTATAAAGGCAAGTTGAGTGTGAATGATAGTTTGCTGTTGATTCAAAATGAACTGTGAAGCAAGGTCTGCAACCAAGCAAGCATTGCCAAGCCAGGGGTCTGGGCATAAATCCCACACCATTATCAGGTTGCTTAACTACATGTGCCTCATTCTGCTCCTGTATAAATTGGAATAAGACGGCAGGACCTAGCTCTTGCAGTTATACTCATGAGTGCTTAAATAATAATGCTTACAGCATGCGCAGAACAATGCCAGGTCAGTAGAAACCATGCAGTCCTGGTTGTCATTATCTACACATGGGGATCCGCTGTGAGCATCTGTAGTGCAACTAGAAGGAGGGTCCTGGGAGATGGATGTGGATAAATGGGTACTATGTGGATGTGACTGCATTTTTAGCAGACAGACCAGAACTAGAGTGAATGGTATCCTGACAGTGTTGTTGGACACCACTTGATAAACATCATAAGAAGATAAGTGACTCCCATGTGTCTTATTGTTCAGACCTACTCCAGAATTATTTCTTGAGCCATGTAGATGAGCCATGAAGCTATAAGACCTGGAGATGTAGTTTGAATGCCTACCCTATTCTTAACATCTACTAACAAAAGTTTATTTTAAAAGGATTTTGTTTCACCTCATGACAATTAAATTTAGAAATCTATTATGAAACCACCAGTACATGTCTCAGACATTCTATATTCTAATGTGATTATATATATTTAAAATATGTATATTTTAATTGGTTATTTAATTTATTTATCTATTTACATTTTAAATGTTGTCCCCCTTCCCAGTCTCCCCTCCGCAAAACCTCCCATCCCGTCTTCCCTCCCCTTTGCCTCTAAGAGGGTTCTCCCCTACCCACCAACTCCAGTCTCACCCTTCTAGCATCCCCTTACTCTGGGTCATCAAGCCTTCACAGGACCAAGGGTCTCCCCTCCCATTGATGCCAGATAAGGCTATCCTCTGCTACATATGTAGCTGGAGCCATGGGTCCATCCGTGTATACTCTTTGGTTGGTAGTTTAGTCTTTGGGAGCTCCCAAGTGTCCGGTTAGTTGATATTATTTTTCTAATGGGGTTACAATTCCCTTTAACTCCTTCAGTCCTTTCACTAGCTCTTCCATTGGGGTCCCCAGGCTCACCTACCATAAGCCTGAGGGTGTTGGGATGAGCTCCCCTGGCTGATAAATGCTCCCCCTATAATGACAGCGGCAGTGATATCTACAAGAGAAAAGGTGAAGTAAATAAAATAAGATATATATTTTTCCAACACAAACAAAATGACAGTTGACTCTGCTCTGCAATTGACCACTGTAGACTTCCACTATTCTATGAGACTGCACAAAGCTATGTTGTACAAACAACAGACAACTAACTAGACATAGTAGCTACAGATTAGGACTGCCAAAATAACTTCTAGACTGTTTAGTCCCATTAAAAGTCACAGAATGGCCTTCAGAAAAACACATTTGCTGTATATTTTAACCCTATGTAAAAAACAAAAGTCTTCACTTCCTGTGAGGGCTAAGAACTTTCTAAGTGAGGCCAGAGAATACAATTCTACCACTTGTATGATAGGAAAATATAGACCTTGTCTGTGATTAGGGTGTGGAAAAATCAAATAGGAATAAACTTCAGGGTTAATTAGTAGAGTCTTTCCTGCTTTTTGTGGCTTTCTGTGAGTAGCTCACCATATCATTAAGTCAAAGCAAATAAAGCAAATATACATGTATATATATATTGCATCAAGTCTCCATAGGACCAAAGACCCCCCTCCCATTGATATCAGATAAGCCCATCCTTTGCTACATATGTAGCTGAAGTCATGGGTCTATCCATGTGTACTCTTTTGTTGGTAGTTTAGTCTCTGGGAGCTCTGGGGCATCCGGTTAGTTGATATTGTTGTTCTTCTTATGGGGTTACAATCCCCTTCAGTTCCTTTAGTCCTTTCTCTAACTCTTCCACTGGAGGACACACACACACACACACACACACACACACACCAAGAGCATAAGTCATTTGGCCTATCAAAAGAAAAGCAGATACCATCTGGCTATTGTCAAGCCCCCTCTGTGACTTACATGGGCACACAAAAGTTAAGAGTGTCTTCATAGAATTTCCCTTCGGGACAGTTACATCCTTCAGCACAGTCGTCTTTGCACTGCTCAGGGGAGGAGAGAGAGGTGCAGGAACGGAGGCAGAATGAGGAACAGTGGTGGTACAGCATGCCCTTCTGGCACACCACAGCTGTGGACAAATGAGTGTCACTTAGGAGATAGTCCCACAGGCAAAGAAACATGTTGTGTTCACTCATACACCCAAAGAGAATATAGATCGATAGACATACACTATCTTACATCAGTGAACACATCACAGACTTGATAACAAAATGAAACAAATAAATGAATAAATATAAGGTAGCTAAGTAAGTAGATAGATAGATAGATAGATAGATAGATAGATAGATAGATAGGAAGATAGAGAGGATAGAGAGATGGGTGAGGAGAGAGAGAGAAAGAGAGAGAGAGAGAGAGAAGCATTCTTGACCTCACTAATAGTATACTAACAGTATATAATAGTGAAAGTCACATTCCTCAGATGCTATTAACCTAGACATTCTATGGTATCTTTAATTCTTGTCCCATATTTATTTGTTCTTCTGAAAGATACTTTAAACAGTTTGAGGAATTACCTGTGCCACATTTAAATCTTCATAGTGCGTTGTTTTGATCACAGTTTGCTCACCATCATTTTGATAGTGAGGGAGGAAAGGTTTATTTGGCTTGCACATGCTGACCACAGCCCATCACAAAGAAAAGTCAACACAGGAACTCAAGCGGGACCACAGTCAGGAGTCATAGAATAAGGTACTTACTGGCTTCTCTCCAGGCACATATTCAGCTATCCCCTGCCCATTAATTAATTAATTTATTTATTCTCTTTACATCCGATTATTCTCCCCTTCTCCTCTCAGTCTCCCCACACAGTCCCTCCCCTCACCTCCCACCCACTTCTCCTCTGAGAAGGTGGACACCCTCCTAGAGTATACCCCACCCTGACACATAAAGTCTCTGTAGCGCTCATCCTCTCCCACTGAGAACCCACAAGACAGCACAATTAGAGAAATGCTATCAACATACAGGCAACAGCTTTAGGGAACAGCTCCCGCTCCAGTTGTTTGGGACCCACATGAAGACCAAGCTGTACATGTGGTACATATGTCCAGGGAGGCTAAGTCCAGCCCATGTATGTTCTTCAGTTAGTGATTCAGTTTCTGAGAACCCCCAAGGGTCCAGGTTAGTTCACTTTGTTGATCTCCTGTGGAGTTCCTATCCCCTCCAGGGCCCTAGATCCTTCTCCCAATTCATTCATAAGAATCCCCAAGCTCCATTCAGTGTTTGGTTGTGGGCTTCTGCATCTGTTTCACTCTCAGCTACCCTTTCTTAAACATCCCAAGAACACTTATTCAAGGGTGTCACAGCCTGTGGTGGTGGGGGGAGGGGGCTGGGACCTCCTTCATCAATTAGTAATCAAGAAAATAGCCCAATTACACTTACAGGTCTGTCTAAAGAAAGCAATTTCTCAGTTAGTTGAGATTCTCTTTTGCCCAGGTGACCCTAGTTGTACCAGGCTGACAAAAGCTAGCCAGTATAGTCATCCTCCTCCTTATCATATTCTTGAAACCTAAGTAAGCATTTATTCCTCTACAAATGTGGCACAATTTAATTTTATTGATTGATATATGATATATATTATAGATATCATATATATCATGTTTTATCATGTTTATACATTGTTTTTAAAACAATTTTTCTTTCCATCAAATGGAACTAAAAATGGCAGGCTAAATAAAATAATCTAAAATATATCTGCACAATGGCAATATCAGGTGACATGCCAATGGCCATAGGGGAAATCTCATGAGCTCCTACCCCTAGATGAAGAACTATAGGCAATGAATGGCTGCTGAGAGTCAGTCTTCTCCAGAGACAATCCCCCCCATAGGTGATCTAATTCCAAGTGCGCATCCCTAGACACATATACATATGAGCAACATAAAAGGGACTCATCAGGTTGTATTCATACGCATATATGCAATGATGACAATTACAGAAGAGATCATAACTTGGAGAGGGGGTAAGAAGACGTAGGAGTAACTGGAAGGGAAAGATAGTAAAATGGCATAGAGAATTCATGTTTAAAATTTTCCAAAACAATATATTAAGTTTAAAAAAATGAAATGAAAATTTCAAAGAACTATTAAAGATATTACTTTTTAAAGGTTTCCTTTTACTTAAAAAAAAACAAAAATCTCAAACTCACGGAAACAAATACTTTGGTCATTCTGATTTAAACATAATTAAAATGATGTTAGGTGTGTAATATAACTTGGTGGGAACAAGAGTGGAGCGCATCTCCAGATGCCATAAATAAAGAAGGGAATAAAAAACAATTTGAGGCAGAGGAGAAGAGTGTGTTAATCCTAGTTGTCTTAGATCTTGGATTTCACTCCTGTGGGAATGGAAAAATCCTTCATAAAAACAAGGCATTGGAAAAGCCAGGCTGGAGAGAAGGCTTAGCCATTCAAGGCTCACAAAAGAAACATCATGACATTGGAACACTTGGGTTGGAGAGATGGTTCAGTCATTAAAGATTAGCTTGCAATGAAAACGTGAGGGAACTAGAAGACTTTTAAGCTGATTTCTCAAAGATGAGAAGCCCTGGCTGAAGGAAGGACTAGAGCAGGAGTCAGAAGATATTCTGCTTAAGGGACCAAAAGGCTAATGTTTCCAGCTTTGCAGGCCCTGAGCTCTGCTCTTATACCAGCTAAAGTCTGCCTGTAAATAATAAATGTAACAAATTTTCAGTAAACTTAGAAAAAAATAAAAACCAGGAAGCCCAAGGGTCATAGCTGGAAAAATAAACATAGGACACTACTGTATCTCTCTACATTAAATGGAACAGCAGACACCAAGATCAGGAGTATTAGCTTCCAAGAACACAAAACAGTCAATGCCTACAGCACAGTGGACCTATTTTAACTACAGATCAGCTGTGTCATAAAGCATCCTCCTTTTTCATACTCTTCAATATTTAGCTATATTTCCAGGATAAGAATATTTTCAATTTTTTTTCAAATTAATGCTTCTTTCAAGACACACACTCATACTCAACGTAGTAACAAATAACCCACAGTTATTAACGTTCTTTCTGGATGTGTCTCTCCTCCTGGAGTCCTCTTTCTCTTTCTCCTATTTCCATCCCTCCCACTCTCCCTCCTCTAGTCCCATGAGTTTAAATGAAGGGACTCTCACACACTAAGCAAGCACTATAGTACTCTGTCCTATGTTTAAAGTTCTTTTTTCTAGCATATCTCTTGGTATTCATTTGTTTTCAGTCCTTATACACCATAAGAATACTTCAAATCATTTATATACAATCTTGAGACCTCTTTCAAAAACTTAACAGCATCCATTATGAATACAAAACTGTCTAAAGAGTTACCTGGTCATCTGTCAGTGATGTCATACTCACCACAGAAGGAGATCTGAGCTCTGAAATCAATGGGCACACCGCGCTGACCACACAGGTAGGCATAGTGGGCAAGAGCATTGCACAGGCAGGAGCTTCCGCACTTGCATGCGTCATGGCGACACAGCTGGTAGTACAGCCCTGGACTGACGTAGACATGACAGGGAGCAAAGAGCTCCTGGTGGATGACATCACAGTGCGCTGCATACCCAACTAACAGACAAAGAAGCCATGAGTCTTTTCTATACCTGCCAGAGATTACCCGAAGAATGGGGTACCAAACAACTCAAGTATCTCCCTTTTCTATAAATGTATCATTTAAAATGAGGGCCAGTAAGTTCAGCAGCTTACACGGGTAACAGCATTGAGTCCAAATTCAATTGTCTTTGAGCCAAAACAACAACAATAACAACAACAACAACAACAACAACAACAACAAAACCTAGTGTACCTGAATAACAGGAGCAACAAAAGGATTGGCAGGTGTGGTAACCACAGCAAGCCTATGCCTGGGGATCACCTCAGGAAACCTGCTGTGAGGAACTGGGGCTTATCATCTCCAGACCTCCATGCACATAACAAAAGTGGTTCCTGATAATGGATGTAATGACAAGTTTGTAGAAAAAAAAAAAAACCATTATCCCAGGACAGGCAATCACTGCATTCCAATGGAATCTCAAGGGTGAAAGACAATGGAACAGATGCCAGAGTCATTCAGCACAATGCACAGTGTCCAGCTTCTGGCAAGCATGAGGAGCTTAGTTTTATGTTTGATCAATAAATTCATGTGTGGAAAAAACTGGGAGCATAATGAATAGAAATTCGGGGTTGGAATCCATTCTGACGTCTGTGAGGTGTAATTATCACTATCTTATTTTAAGGAGGCTCCTACAATCACACCTTCAAGTCAGTGCTGAGCAAATACAACCCTGCTTGAGACTGGCCAAGCAGGTGTGACAAGCTCAGGGGGATGCTGTCATTCAGTGAAAAAAGACAAGGTGAGGTGGTTCCTTGATGTAAGCGGACCTCACTTGAACTGATTCCCGAGGAGATAAAAATCAGTCAGTCTTTGTATTGTCATTGTCACTGAAAGACCAATGGACATTAGATCCTTTTCACCTTCAAGGAACAATACTGGATGTGTTTTGTTGAGAACGTCAGGCATATTCATTTGTAATATAACATTGTCATTAATTCTTTAAGAATGGTATACAATGTATTTACATCGTATTCACCATCCAACTCCCAAATTTAAGGCATATTTATTAATAATAAACATCCTGGTAGTTGCCCAAGTACTATTTTATTGCATCAAATTAGTGTACATATGGGGAACAAATGACCATACACTGCTGGTGGACAAATTCCTCACCCCAAGAACCCTGAAAGGGCAAAATAATGCACTGGTAATGCCATTCTATTGTGCTCTAAGAATCTATAGATCAAAATGTATTTCCACTGACATTAAATAAAGAGTAACTAAAAAAAAAAAAATTCTTGTAAGAAAATATCCAGAGTCCTGTTGAGAGTAGTTGGCTTTTGACTACTTTCTTTTCTTTTTCTCTGTTTATGAATTTATATGTTTAGGATTTTTATGAAATCACAGCTCACAGCAAAAGGAAAAAAGAAAACCTCTGAAGCAAATACCATAGAAGACATAGAGTGCAGGAGGAAAGGGGTGGAAAATATGGTGCATTGTGACAGTTACAAAATAAAGATGAAGCCAGAAGAGACAGCTAATCAAGCGAATTCCACCGAAACCTTTACATAGTAACTGGATAAATAACAGAGTCACTGCAGTATTCAAACGGAAACCATCAATGTTAGAAACTAGTAAGATATGAGAAACCAGATAAGATTGGCTGAAGAAGTAAATTTGTTTTTAAGATAGCAGGGTGGAATGGAGGGAAAATGAAAATGGATTTAAAAACAGTACATCATAAAAGCCAAGACTCTAGTCTACTCTTGAGATTAGAGAGAGGCAGAGACAGGGACACAGAGTGACAGGGAGAGATAGAGACAAAGACAGAAAGAGACTGAGATACTTAGAAAAAGAGAAAGAGACAGGAACCCTCATAGGGATAAAAAGATGACTGTCTTTTTTTTTACATGTTGGGTGAAAGTACATTCGAACTAAGCTTAAGATAAAAGCTATTCAATAATCAGCATAGCATTCATACACAACTAGAATAAATGTGGAGACTGAACATGGATTCTTGGCCAGTGTTAGTAACATATAAAAATTAACCCTATGAAAGTAGTAAATTAGGCTAAGTAAAAAATAAATAAATAATCAAATATGCACATTAAATTTTGTTCAGAAAGAAGAAGACTCCTTTTACTGGAAAACAAACTAGCCTTTGATTTGGTTTATTGTGGCTTTAGTTTAAAATGTATTTGGGGGAAATGCAAACACATACATAGGTGTGTGTGTGTGTGTGTGTGTGTGTGTGTGTGTGTGGTGTATGTGTGTCCAAAATTCTAGGCATGTTGAGTTGCGTTGTTCCTGCAAATTGCAAAGCTGGAGCATGACTATCTCAGACTGTTGCCCACTTAATAGCACAAATCAATATTTGGGTCCTGGGCTCCCTGCTTACAGAGCGATAACAGATGCTGTGAGTAGGAATAAAGACGAGACGTGCTTGAGTTATCACACTATGACACTGCGGCTGAGCACCCTGAAACTACAGCCGCAGTCTTCGAGTGTTTCCTGCATCTGAAAACTCCAAAATGCAGCCTGTGTTTGAGGAGAAGAAGAAAGTCATAAATACCCATGATGTGCACATTTTTAAAACGTAAAAGAATAGGTTGTCTGCTGTTCTTTCCAATAGCCTTAATTGCACATACAGATCGTGAATGCAGCATAGGCTTGAACAAAAGCACACAAGGAGCAGCAGTGTTCTTGCCGCAATGAGTAAATCGTAATTTAAAATCATAACAGAAGACTATAAAATGAGTGTACCATACTGGACATCTCCCCTAAGTGTACGTGTGGAAAGGAGGACTTACTGTTCTGTTGGTTAATATTGCAGGGATCCACCATCGGGACATGGACAGGCGCAAAACACGTGGAGGAAACTCTCCACGCATGTGCGTGAAGCTGTGGGGTTCCTTCGATCATGCCTGATGGAGAACTAGAAAGGCGAGAAAATGTTCACCGTAGTCTTTCCCATTCCTCTTATTTGCATATATCCTTTGAATATTCAAATAAGTAAATACTCTTTTTCTTAATGGTCAAACAAGTCTTAGAAATTCAAGTTCTCTAAGAGTTTTAGAGAAACATGAACGTGTCAGCTTCCTGTCCTTGAGATTTTTCAAGGGGCTAAATTATGAACATACATAACTTTTATCGAGTCTTCATTTCTGCCTTGGGAAGAAAACACCCTTCCTTGTGCCGATTTTATAAAGAAAACCAAAAGCTCAGAGAAATGCTAATCAGTCTCATTAAGCCCAAGAAAGCCAAGGATCAGATTTGGCCCCGCTCCGATAACCATCATTCAAACAACCAAAAATTTAGTCTGAGTGTAGTTTAAGGTGAATGTGGCAACGTAGAGGTGCATAGTTTTTATGGTCTATTCAAACTACTGACAAATTCTACAGCACATAGCGGTCTATACTCTTGGCTCACTATATCAACTTATATAGGAACACCTGAAATACTAAGCAAACATAGATTAAAGCTGGGTGAAAGTTGACGTAAAAATCCTTCTTCCTTCACGCTTATTCACCTGTTCGTTTCCTCGGCAGACCGGAACAGAAGAGAGCTACCACCCTTTTAGACTGAGACTACAGCGTTGAGGGGACAAATATAAAAATTCCACCTTCAGGGACCTTCATTTAACGGGCAACATTTGTTAAGTGATTTCACTATCAGACACCGAGCCAGACCCTGTAAAGACATACAGATCAAGGCGTTGTCCATAGATCTGTGCGCATGGCTACAATGTCTGAACAGGAAGAATGGGCTTGATCTCCACTCTCTCTGTGCCCTTGAGGATGAGTTGCTTAATTTCCATCTAGCTGAGACCACTTCTTCAGGAACAGAGGAAGGAGATCGTCTCCCCCAACCCCTCCTTCCTTTTCCTGTTCCTCAGTGGGTCCCCAGGATGCTAAAGAACTATAAGAAGCCAAATATAAAAGTCTCATTTTGTTTAGACGAAGATACTAAGACTCAAGAAACTCTCTGAATCCTAATAACTTTTCCCCCCTTCTGTTCCCCAGCCTTCCTTCTCTAGCCCTCCTCCCAGGGAAAGCAAAATATCTCAGGGTTCCCAGGAGGAGCTACCCAGAGTTCCAGTCTCTTATTTCATTTAGTTGACTTAAAACAATAAATTTGTTTAAGATAAGAACCAGAATGTAGGCCCTGTTTATTTATTGTATTTCACTTTTATAAAACGGCCTTTCAGCTCACCAAACTTACTTGACTTGCTCCAACAGGGCATGTAAAATAAATTCTCGATTAATATTTTTCCATTAAACTATGTTTGTAGCTTCACGTTAACCTTGGTCAAGTAAAGAATTTTAACTGCTTTTCTTGGAAAGCTAAACAATGTTCGAGAGTTATCTGTGACTGAAATATTATCCTGTATTCTTATCGAGCCTGAGTGTTTATGCACGGAAGAGACGGGTGCCTTAGAGACTGGCAGACAGCTCTGCCATTTGTTAAACACTGACTGCTAACCCATTCTGACAAACAAGGCCAAGGAACAGGACTTTAATGTCTTTTCTGGACATTTGAGCCAAGCCTCCTAGCATGGTTTCTGTTTTGAAAATATGATAGAGACCATATTACTCTAACCTGGAGTAAATTAAAAAAAAATAGCTAAATGCAAATAAATTACATGAGATAATGTAAAATAAATGTTGCTTTTTAAATTTTTAATTAAAACATCGTCTCTCATTGCCCAGTCAGTGAGCTTCTTGGCACACTACTAAAAGTTCTGCTTAGTTCAGCTGACTATCCATGGTAGACTAGAATCGTGTAACCCTAGAGACCAAGAATAGGTTGCTAACTCTCATTAAACCTGGCCATTTGGTGTGAACAACTGATAAGTGATATTTCCTTCACACTAATCTAGATGTAATTTTGGCTAGGCGTAAACTAATTTTTGAAAGCAAATAAGGCTTGAGTTGGTTTGAATGTAAAATCAAGATTAGAAAGGGAAGAACCACAGAGGGAAAAGATTATATGTGAAGGTATTCAAAAAATCATGTCATTTAGAGAACCACTCTTCTATGACATGGTCCCCGGATGTCAGCCCACAGAGACCTCTCAACTTATACTGTGTTTCTGGCTAGGAGCACAAAGGGTAACATTTATTATTTTGGAACTGCCTCAATATGTTATGTGCATTTTGCTTTCTTGCCTCACATAGCACTGAATATTCCTTCATTAGAATCTTTTATATTGATATTATGGTCCCGGCTTGTGTATATTTAGAAAGTACAAGATAATTCTTTAAAGTTGCATGGGTCTGCTGTATAATGGTTAAGCCAAGCTAATGAACACATGTGGCACCTCATATTCTCATTCTTGCAGCAGAAAGATTTGTCAGTTAACCTCTTGGCAACTTTCAAGTATCTATCACATTGGCTCTTGATATCACGATGAATAATAGAATTCTATTATCTACCAATTCAACAAGTTCCTTCCATTAACCCTCAGCCCAGCTCAGCACCACTCCTGGACAGTCATCAGAGGAGTTATTTTTCAATTTCATGGTTAAATCTTTTCCTGATAATGCAATACCAGTGTCTGGGGGATTAACATTGTGTTATCCCACTTAACTGGTTCCCAGTGAGCCTCAGGCTGAATGACTAATACTCACAACATGACCCTGAATCGTGAACTGGTGCCTCTCATGGGTAGTGAAAGCACATTTTCCTATCAAGCGTGACTAGCAGACTTTATTGCTTTCCTCCCAATGCAACACCAATTTTCCCAAAATCTGACGAACTTTGATACCAAAATTTATCTTATAACCAGCCATAGTACCAAGTAACATGGCACAGTTTAACTTACTACCATTAATACAAATATATTATACAGTATGTATAATATAAAATACATTAATACAAATAAAATATGAACTAAGATTTTTCTAAAAGGCTACAAGTTTCTAAAAAGCAGACCACAGAACTTAAAAGGCAACAGAGGAGAAGCCAGGAGGCGGCAGTTAGCCCACATCCTGAGATATTGCATAAATTCAAGCCTCGCTCCAGGACATGAGTTAACTCAGTTTCTTAAACTGTGGTCATGACACATACAGAATCATGTAAATGAAAAGGGGGCCATGAAAAGTTTTGCAAGGTTCAAAGGTTTCTAAACGTGTGATCACCCAAATCAAATTCCAAGTCAAGTGAGGTCACCTGTGGAGCACACACCTGTAATAGCAGCACTTGAGAGGTAGAAGAAAGAAGATCAGGAGTTCAGGGCCAGCTTTGGCTACACTGCAGATTTGAATCCAGCCTGGACTACATGAGACCTTTTCTTATCCCTAAAACACATTTACAAAGTGGTGATACATGTTCTACCTCCCAACACTGGGAGGTAGAAACAGTTGAATTCTTGGTGCTTGATATCCTAGTCTACCAGCCTACCCTAATCAGCGAGTTCCAGGCCAATAGAGGTCCTGATTGAAAAAAAAACCCAAGGTGGGTGGCACCTGAGGGGTAACACTCAAGGTTAACTTCTGGCTTGCACAGAAAACACACACACACACACCACATCACATCAAATATGTTATGAATGCAAGTTGTTTCTCACAGCAATCACCTATGTAACACTGCATGACTCCACACAACTTTGGATCTGAAAACATAACTCATACTTTGCACTTCACATACTGTCATACCACACACATCAACGAATGTTCCCGGAACACCTCATCTCCGATTTGAAACTGTTGTGTGCAATGAATTACAGTGTTTATACTATAGAAAGATTTTTACTCTTACATCAACATACGGCTTTATTTTAGGAAATATATTGTAAATATTTGTATACAACCATTATGCCTGTGTAAATATCAAATTCATATATCTTTGGACTGTATTATATTAGAATTTTTTGCATTTTAGGAATTACTGTTTTTCTTATTGGTGAGTTTTATTTGACAAGTCATTAAATTTTGGCTTGAGATTAGGACAGAATTTTCAAAAATATTTGCCATTTTATTCTATATATTCTCAGTGTTGATTTTAAAAATCAAAAGACTGAGTGACCCTGAAGAATGTAGAAGAAGCTATATGCCCTGTAGTATGGTATATTTAATTCAATTCTTTATAGAAAAAAATGAACAAAATGAACAAACGCATTCATCTTCCTTTTATGCAAAGTTGCTTTCATCGTTAATAAATGGTATTATATGTATAGCAAAGAATTGTTTGAAATAAGTTTCCTGATGGTTTATTCCCACTATATGTTTGATAAATATATCGTGTATTTATATCTCCGGGATTGCATAAAGTTCATGGGTAACAGAGTCTTGAGTTTGAAAACTTTATGAAGTCATAAGTGACTGAATGATTCGTTTGTTCCCATGAGGTCTTAAGTTTCTTCACTAATTAGTACAACGAAGATGCTAACCCAGTGGGTAACTATACAGGTTAAATACCAAGATATATGTGAAGCACTTAGCCAGTGATTGCTGGCCTCCTATCAGTTATGTAAACACTTTTAATGAATCTCTCTCCTCTAAACTGACAGGCATTAAACTCAGCAGGCTGCACATAAATCATACTTACAGAAAGTCATCCCTGATGTTGCCGTTAAAGGTGCCGCACAGACCTAACGTCCTCCTTTTCCAGGCGCTGGAAAGCTGAATGTAAATTCTTTCGCCGTCAATAGCAAACAAGATCTTTAAACCAAAGGTAGTTCTTAGGAGAATGAATAAGGATGACAGGGTTTGAATTTCAACAATGCCTGTAGGAAAATAACATACATAAATTAGTGTCACCACATGCAGGCAGTGTTCTGAAACGGCATTGGACAACACTGAGCCTCTTCTATGACATCGGAGGTGGCTAGCTAGTTGGCACGTCTTGCTTATGTTCCAGGGTTAAATCTATCCCTAGTGGCTGATTGCTTTTCTCTTGTTTCCTTCCTTCTATCTCTGATGTATATCTTCTTCTTCCTCCTGATAGACTGCTGCTGTTCACATGTAATCTCTGTTGATGAACATCTTGATATTAGGTGTTTGAACTCTAATTATCTTATCATAAAGTATGCGTTCTTGTGTGTGGTGTACATGTATATGCATATGTGTGGTGGGGGTGAATGGTGTAGCAGAGGTGTGGTGTGCGGTTTTATAAGGGGTACGTATGGTACACAGGTGGTAGTATAATATGTGGTGTGTATCTGTGTGTGACAGGAAGTGTATTGTGTGGAGGTGCGGAGAGATGTAGAGCAGTGTGGTGCATGACGTGTGTGTCTCTGACTGTGTATTTGCGTGTATGTGTGGTTTTTGTATGTTATATGAGAGATATGACATGTATGTATGTCTGTGTATGAGTGATGTGTTGTAGTGTAGTATGTTACCTTAAAGTGGTCATGATCCATTAGGAAGTACCAATTGTCTCAAAACTTTTCCAAATTTTTGTGAATGTCAAAAAGAATAGAAAGCATATCTCTCGGTAATCATTATTTTATGAGACATAAATCTAATACCATAAATCTGAAAAATATTCTTTGAGCTCTCCATTCTCTTCATTGCCTTCCCATACAGCCACAACTGAATCCAGCAGTAAGTATAGGCCACTTGTATTCTGACAGCCCATCAATCTGTCTTCTATCCATTTCCACTGTCACACTGTCACTGCCTTGGAGTAGCTCCTCCCTGGCTCTGCCATGCCTCACTGTGTAGCATGCTGTGTGTTGGTTATCTGATGTCTGTCATCTCAAAATCCTTCCATCAAAAGTCATGTATGTGTGTCTCTCTGTGTGTGTGTATGTGTGTGTGTGTGTGTGTTTATATGACCAAAAAAAGAAATGAATTACAATTCCTTAAGACTCACTGTTTATTTCCATCTATTTGACTAAAGTGTATGAGATCACCATTTCATAAACTGGTCAAACAGTAATAGTTTTACATTCATGACTATGAGTTTTCCTAGCGTGATATTTGTGTAACATTGACATGTGATCGGTAACACAAGTGGGAACATCTCTGAGAGAGTTTTCAGTGTGAGAGTAAAAGAATATTCTTAATATCTCTACTACAGAGCAGACATAAACAAGTCCATCCCGGGAAACTCCCATGTATGAAGCCGTCTACATGCTGACCGTATTCCATCTGCTTCCCTAATGTCAGTCTCTATTGACCCTGTTCAGGATGTAGCGATGTCAACGCAGTTACCTCCTAAACAAGCTCCACAGATACCCTCCTTCCTCACCTCCTTCATCCCAAGTTCAACTTTAAATGGTCAGTGACTCATCACCTTCTTCAGAAAACCCTACTGAGCCTGCAAGTCCTTTCCCAAATTATTGTGTCTATCTCATTTCATTGCCAGAATCTGTTTGTTTGTGCAAATTCTAGGCCACTTGAGAAAAACAATAAGGATTGTGGTCTCCGGTGTATTTGGCAAAGTGGCACAAGTACCCAGGAAATGTTACGTGTCATCAACCTAGATGAAAATGGACGCTTTGGATTGGGTTTGCTGTTGGTGCTAACGTACTCACAGCAATGCTTCTTACCGTTCAGGGTGAAGCCTTGGTTGGGACTGGTGAGGATCTGGCCTCCCCTGCTGAGTGTCACTTGTTTGTTAAAGTCATCTTCCAGAATTAGAGTGATGGACTGAAGGCAAACCAAACCCAGGTTCTGCAGAAAAGTCAAAGTATTGGTGAGAGGAAGAAAGAGAGAGACAAGGAAGGTGGGAGAAGAGAGGAAGAGAGAGAAAGGAGAAAAATGGAGAAAGACTGTGCACAAATAAGAATATCTGGTATATATGAAGGCTATGATATATCATATTTATATATATATATATAATAAAATGTTTAATAGCATTTTCAACGACTCACCAGTAATTGGTTTTCATAACATATAGTTGCTCACTTAGCTATACAATTGACAAAATTCTGAATGAAGAATGCAGTCAAGTCATTTAGGACTAATCGTAAAGTTAACTCAAACATTAAAAAACTTTCAATAAAAGAATAGAGCTGAAGCCACGTGTGACAGCTCACAGCTAACAACCCCAGCACTCCAGATGCTGAGGAAGGAAGATTGCTGCAAATTTAAGGTTAGCCTGTGCTACACAGCAAGAATGTATCTCAAAAACAAACTAGCAAAAAAACTGATTTTTAATGTTTGCTGAAAAGGACCTTTTATTGGAATTAAGTTTGATTATTAAGGATTTGGGAAATTTTTTGAAATTATTTTTTGAACAAATTTTTGGTGTGTTTATTTAAAGAAAATAGCTAACATCAATTATTATAATATGTTAAAATTATATATAATAAATATCATTTAATTTTATGTTATATATCCCTTTCAAATGACATAAAACCTACTGGATCCTATCCAAAAATAATACCCTGTGTAGCAGCTGATTTGGGAGTAAATTAAGTAAATTAAACTTTTGTCCTATTGTGAAATTGTGCATTACATTTTCAAAAAGCAACATATGCAAATAACCTTAAAAAGTCAATCTGTACTGAATCTTATCTAGTAAACATTATTTTTGATTTTATATGTCAGTACGTCTAAAACCAAGGTTCTATATGTCATGACCAATGGTGAGCATGATTCACTCTTTTGGGATATATTAATAATGATGACATCTTAATGATCAATACATTAAGAATAGTGAATTTTTTAATAACACTGTCATGTGGGGATGTGAAGCTGGACTTTGAAGTACGATAACTCCCCTGCTGCCTGTTTGGTCTACGCTTACCTGTTCGCAGTGAGCCTTCTGTAGAGTGATTGTGAATCTGTCTTTTCCTGTTCCTTTCACAAGGATGTACTGACACAAGCCAATAAAAGAATAATGGCGCCCATCAAAGGTGGTGAAGTGAGAGTCACCCACAACAGAACACTGAACTGTCAAAGACAAACAAAGGAGATGAAGAGAGAGAGGAGGAATGAAAACCTGTGTTAATGCTTAAAAAAAAAAAGGACAACTTAGCATAAATACGGACACCTCAAAAGAAAATCGTTCATTTAGATTTAATTATCTGACAAATTAACCTGCCAAATTTCACTTAAAAATTATTAAGTGATGGCTTTTCCATATATTTTTAGGACTTGTATTTTAACAAAATTTTAGCAAAGTTGACTACTAGATGTTGCTAGGTATTCATTTTTCCAATTATCCTCTATATGTAGGTTATATATTATTATATTCTTATATAGGTGAGAGCCATTCAAAAATCAGTGTTATTTTTCCTTCCAAATTAAAAAAAAATTCTTCAGATGTTAAATTTTGGTTTTTAACATTTTAGAAGATTACCTGGACAGTCATGCTCGGTGCAGTTCCAAACTCCACCAACACATACACTAAATAAAATTAGAAAAATATTAGCCTGACACAGAAAGTATGTTGACATTTGTCTCAATATATTGCTTAATATTTGAAATATATTAAGTTAATAAGTTCTCTATTATCTGACTAGGAAACCTTCTCTTAAAAGTTGCACTAATAGTTACAAACTGTCTGACTGATCAATGAGTATCCATTATGTATCTATTTGCTGTCATTAGACACTAACTAGAAGAAAGAGCTCTCTTCTAGTGGAAGGCAAAGGTTCCTTCCCTTCTTCACAAATACAGGAGTTTCTGAGGAAACCAAGAGTTTAATGACATCAGCCACTGAGAATATGGATAGTTATAAACTTGCACGTCTTTTCAGTATGCTGAGAGCAAAGAGAACAGAGTCATGGTCATGTAGGATTCTATTTTTGCCAGGGACTGTCCTGGAGGAATTGCATGCTTACCCAGAGTCTGAGCTAATTTAATAAGGAATTGTAAATCTTTCTGATCATGTATAGAAAGTCAATAGAAAGTCGCTTTATAAAGTATTCAGTACATAGGCCTAGGAATATCATCTAGCTCTAAGAATAAAACTATTAGTTAATTAGTTATTATGAACAACAAAATTGGATGGGCTGTACATGAGTGCCGGATTTTATGAAATTACCAAGGGAAGGAATAAGAACACAAACACATAAAGAGAACCAATTTGTGCAGTTCAAGTACAAGACAAACTGCATCTCAGAGTTTGCAGATGAAAATTAGCAACGAGTAGACTCTTCAAGATGCCTGTCATGACCAAGTTGTTAAACAGAAAAATACTCAGAAAATATTCTCTACCAGTGGACCACTTACCATTCAGTGCACTCTTGCTCAATTTTTGAACCAACTGAATAAGCTAATCCATGAAATGTACATGGGCAGCTCTCCAAAGAGATGCAAGTTCCATTGTCCATTATGAGGCCTGCTTAGGAAACATGTTTGTCACATATATCTCAAAAGAAATAATAAGGGCTATGCCCTTTGAACAGAAATCAATTCAACCAAACGTTGATGAGAACATACATGGAGCAAGCTCCAGATACAAAAATTCCTAGACTGTCTATGAGTATTCTAGAAACTTAGCTTTCAATGTTGTGAAGTAGAAATGTAGCTCTCAGTTGGTGTCAATGTTGTGAAGGTTTCTTTCAGCTAGTTTCAACTTTCGTTTCCTGTAACTTACCATCAAAATCTCACAGACTGCCAAGGAGAAGAAAGGCAACTGAAAAGTATTTCCTTGAGTTTAATGGAAGAAGATTAAAAACAAGAGAGAGAAGGTACATCTTTGGTTTATGTCCTGTTCAGTCCAAGATAAAGAGATTTCTACTACTGTCACCCAGCTATCAAAGAACTCGACAGTGCTACTCAATGGTCCGATGTGGTGCATTCATTACATCAGATCTTTGAGAAATTAAAATGAGGACAGAGCAGAATTTAAATCAGCTCTTCCATCCTACTGGCCTTCTTCATAGTAAGTATTTGCACCAGGTAGTATATGGAGTTGTGTTCTGAAATTGGCTCCTTATAGCATGTTTGACTGTGAGTAAACACACCAAGACTACCATTGGTTTACTATAGTGTTAACTCAGAAAGAGGTTCCCGGGAAAATCACTTAACACTTCTATTTTTTTTTTTTTTTGAGGACTTGGAGATTGGACCTAGATCTTTTGCATAGAAGACCAGTACTTGGTCATCAAGATGCATGCTACAAAACTGCATACCTAACCTCCTTTTCCGAGTTTGTATTTTTTTAAAGGTTGGGCAACAGGATGAGCTGAGGATATGGCTCAGTGGGCAGACTGTTTGCTGAGTTCACATAAGGCTTTGAGTTTGGATCTCTAGAATGCATAAAAGTCATGCCACTCATTCAATCCCAGCACTGGATTATTGAAAGATAGATACCCAAACGTGGTGTCAGTAAGTACAGACAAGATGACAAGTTCTGTGGTTCAAAGAAACACCCTATTTCAAAAAATCAGGTAGACAGTAATAGAGAAGTACACATAATGGCAGTCTCTGGCCTTAGTGTGCAGATAAATACATGCACAACACACCACACATGTATGTGCTCAAAGAAGTAGAGACATAGAGAGAAAGTTGGACTATGTTAGAGCCTCACTAGAGGTTTCTAGTCTTCTTTGTAAATGTTTATCCACACTATAATTTTAAACTAAAATCTTAGGATGGAAAAATATGACTCCTTCCTCCTAAGCTCAGTTTCATAGTCTAGAAAATGAAAATGTGTAACATGTTAAAGATTATTAAATACTGAAAGAACAAATTCATTACCTTAGGAATTAAAAATATTAGAATCTCAGTTTCATAAAATTTTTATCAAAAACAAAAAAAACAAAAAAATAAACAAAAAACCATGTCCCTTTTATTAAACACAAACATTCCTCCCAGTCACTTGAAGGATTGAATGTCACAAGTTGCAATAGCTCCAATGTCGAGGGAATGGACAGCAAGACCAAGATGTGTTCTTCACATAACCGAGTACCACTTTAGAGGAGTGTAGGCATGCTTTCTTCAAGCGATGCTTACCGTCTGCGCAATAGCATCCATCAAGACAGTGAAGACTGCTCCCAAGACACTGTTTGTCAAACGTGCAGCTCGGTGGGCAACAACTGATACAATCCCGGTGGACAAAGCTGTCGTCACATTTATCAGCTGCAATGGCCAGACAGTGGACTGTGAATCAATTTTATCATCTTTCTTTCAAATAAGAGTGTTTAGGAAACATGCAAATTTACAAATATATGAACAAATTTTTTTTAAAAAAAAATCTTGTGATATATTAGTTTTGAGAAGCTGGGTAAACTGAATTCTGAAACCTAGGACAAAATTGATTTATGTTGTTGTCATTGTTATTGTTGTAAACTACATGGCTTGAAAAATGCAAACATACTGCATGCTGGGAAGTCATCCCTCCAGTCTTGAATGGGGAAGCCGGCATGGGAGCAGGCTCTAGCATACTCAGTGGCTGCTCGGCAGTAAGTTTCATCATCATCAGTTCTAAAAAGAAAGAAGAAAAAAAAGAATAGAGTATCGTCACATGGGAATCTAGACAGAATTCTACCTTGGAGCCATTGAGCCTTAAAAGCAAAATGAGGGTCTCGTGAACACACTGATATTAGCTGCTGTCAGAATGTGTGTCTTCCATGACATACTTCACAGGAGACAAGAATGTTCAAACCATGTATACAAGAGATCCTAGATGAATATACCTACTAAATTTAATATGATGTAATTTAGTTCAATACCTTTATCATAATCCTCTGCATTGTTTTAATACTTTCTCTATGGGTCAAGTAAAAACTATAATGAAAAATATATTTCATTTTTTTAAATTTTTTCATTTATTTTTATTTCTACACAAAACATCCTAGACTTTCTAGAATGTAATAATCATTAAATTTTTTTAGATAAAAATTTAAATGAAATTAAAACATAAATTTATATTTCTACAAAAATATCAAGGATGAACATTTTTTTTCCAAACACATCATACTGAATTGCCCAACAGTCTGTGGCCCTCCTAAGCATCAGAGTAGTTCTGTGGCTTTTCTTGCCATAACAGTCCAAAATATTTTTGAGGGACTTCATAAATAACATTCAATGTGAGATGTAAAAGGAGATTTTCAAGGTCTTTCACTGAAGCTAGACAGTTTTACAATATTGCCACAAGTAAATTATCTCTAATTATTTGTCTTGCAATCACTTTAGAAGCTCTCTAAACAATCATTTCTTGTGGGATCTGCCAGTTCCCAGAGCAGATTAACAAGACACTTTCAAAATAAACAGGTTTATAACAAGGTTGCTAGCTTGGTTTTCAACCCGATCCATACTCAAAATTGGATAGTTAAGCATCTGAAAAGATAATGACCTTAAGAATGTTTCATTTTGTGACTCTTAACATTTTGCTTCTTTGTTAGAAAAGCCACCGTCTCAAATTGCCCTTACTCTGCTACTGTAATTGGAACCAACTAGCTTATCTAGTCTAATTAAAAGAGCTTTAGAAGGCGATGGAGAAACATGTCCACATAAGCTTCAGGAGCTCAGAAAATTCTAAGAGTGCGAACAGAAAAGACTTTCTGAAAAGAAGTGTATGTTAAAAACTGTTGAGTTTCTGGGAGATATTAACCTTAAAATGTGGACGTGTTTCTTACAATTAATATTGATTTGAAAGGACTTTGGGGCTTGCCAAGTGATGCAACAAATATTTAAAATGTCTGTTCTTTCCACAATGTCTATGTTTCTCCTGGAACCACGCTAGGTGCATAGTCTTATGGCATCTGATGAAAAGCATCAGAATCAGGCAAACAGGAAATTATTATCCTTAAATACTGAGAGAAAATGAACTTATTTTCCACTTGGATGTTATCACTAATGAGGAAAAGCAACCATTAAATAATAGTTGTTTCTAATTCAATTGACGTTGACATGCCAAAAATTAAAGTAATTTCTTTGGTGCCAAGTTCTTGCAAGCAAACCCAGGAAGGTATAATTGCAAGGATTGCACTGTTCCCATCCAAACGCTACCTCTTGTGTGGAGCCTTGCATGCAGTCTGTGATCTCAGTGTTTCTGTCACAAGCCACTAGCAAACAAGTGTGCCATGGCTGGAAACCTCCTTCTGTACCCCAACAGAATTTAGGTTTTCAGGAGAAAGACTTTGTGGACAAGGTTTCTGTTTCCACGTGTGTCAACTTTGCTTAGCTGGTCAGCACAAAGATGGGTGTCAAGTCACATATACAGCAGAGGACAGCCTGGTCTGGCCTCAGTGAGAGAAGATGCGCCTAACCCTTGAGAGACTTGAGGCCCCAGGGAATGGGGAGGTCTGGTAGGGGTGGAATTGGGGGTGGGGGACAGGGTCAGGGGAGGGGAGGTATGGGATGGGGAGCAGTCAGTGGATGGCCCGGGACAGGGATAAAAACTGGACTGTAAAAAAAAAAGAAAAAAATTAAAGAAAAAAAATGATGGGTGTCAAGTCAGTTTCAGTGTGTCAAGATATAAGCAAGAAATGAATGTGTTTTCAAGTTGTTCGCCTTATCATTGAATAAGATCCTTCTGAATCATTTCCATTACAGTGGTAAAGAATCATTCATTTGCTACTTAAGGACAGAAAGATGGTAGGAAGCTGTGCCCTGAGATGCAAGAAGAAGTGCAAGCATATTCTGGGAGTGTCTTCCTTCCATTTAGTCAGTTCCCTCTAAATTCAAACACAATACCCCTCTTCTCATATGACCTGCTTGTTCTGCCCCTAACCCTGTCTTGCAACCTCAAACACATGCCTTAAAGCTCAGCTAATTTAAACCACTACAAGATAACTCTGTACCTCACTATTCTGATCCATTTTTCCTGGAGAAAGAAATCAGAGTTTTAAAAAAAAATGTTAATTTTTCATTGAATGTTTATATGATGTAGATATAGGGGAGAACTGGGTTATTCTCCAGTTTCCCTTTCTTTTTAGAATGTTGCATCTTTCCTGGATGTATGGATACTCAGCAAAAGACACTGCTAGCCTTCTATGGCCCTGGGTATGACCATATTTCTATATTTCTGTTCCAAAAGGCTTAGGACGTGGGCTAAAGGTATGTATATCAATATTCCAGGTTAAAAGAGATGCTAGTCCCTTGTCTCATGTCTCACTTTCTGACAGCTAACAGGAAGACATAAGAGCGAGGAGTCAGGTTGGGTCTTGAAATTGAGAATAATGCAAGGACATCACGTCTCAACAAGACTGCAGAGTCACACCGTGCAGTTTACGGAGCAGAGCCATGATGTTAATCCAAGAGCAGTTAGCAGCTTGAGCTTTCAAATGAGAGAAGCATAAACATTCCATTTAATTTTATCCACTGTCACTTGGCCTATTGAAGCAGCCAAATTAATAGAGAATGACTTTCCGGAATCTACCAAACGATACTTTATCTCAGCCTACAGAAAGAAGTGGGTGCTAGAGATGGGTATGGCAAAGCCATTTAGAAAAGCTGCCAAGCAATGGGCACAAGCCACTGTGGAAAAACATAATACCTTTTTAGCTCTGTATGAACAAGGAAACAAGGGACATGCCTACCTTTGTGGATCTTGAAAAGGAAAAAGCCAGTCTGGGTAAAAGAATAAAGACAAAACAAATAGTGCTTACTTTTTAAAAAGAGAGAGAAGAATGTTTCAAAAAAGCATAGTGAGGCCACTGGGCACTGTTGGGGAAGAGAAGCTATCTGAGAGCTTTGTACTCATTTAGGAACCCCTGGACCCGGAAATGGTCTACATAAGTCAAGACATGATTGCAACTACTCAAAGCCAAGCCGTAAAGCCAATCAGCTTGCCTTAATATTTGGAAACGTCAGTGCATTCAATATACTTTTATAACAAGGAATCAATCTAAAGAAGAGTATTCACAGGTAACATCGTTTCAGTACTCTTTCTCCTTTTTTAAGATTACCTTCGATAAAAGTAGAGATCATAACAAGTTACCAAAAATTCAGCCGGTTTTACTTGACCAAAAATTATTCAGCTGTTCTACAAAAATATTCAGGCGTACTATTTTTATTTCTGGGCATTCATTAAATATTCAAATATACAAAAAAATCCCTGAAGTACCCTTGAATCTTCAAGATGACTAATTACATATACTTGGTAACTGGAAATAAGCAAAATTTAAAAAGCGTTCAACAATAGATAATTTTTCATAATTTCTATGATGGACACAGAGTGCTCAGCTTGTTGCCTAGACAACTTTAAATTCAAGATGTTGTTGAACTCAGTTAGCATAAAGCAATCTGTGACCATAGAGAGAAAAACATTAAAGGTTTACTGCTAGTCATCACCAGTTGGAATTGGGCGTTTCCTTCAGTTGTGCATAAAGGCTTCAAGTCACAATGTTATGTTATTAGCAACATGTGATTTTTGTCAGCAACATGTCCCACTTATTTTTTCATATGTTCTCATTTCACATATAATTGAAGAATTACGAATTATTGTTTGCACTCCTCATGGTGTCAAACTTCAGCAGTTATTGAATATTAAATATATGTTCTCTTTTCTTATTATTTTTTATCCTTAATCTTTTTTACTGTCTGATCATTATTCTCCTCTTGTTCTGCCCTCAGATAGTTCCTCATACCATTCCTCCTTTCCCCTCCCCCATTTCCAAGAGGATGTCTCAATGTACCCACACCCCACCAGGCCTCCCCACTCTTTGAGGTCTCAAGTCTCTCAAGGGTTAGGCGCATCTTCTCTCACTGAGGCCAGACCAGGCAGTCCTCTGCTGTATATGTGTCAGGGGTCTCGGACTAGCTAATGCATGCTGCTTAATTGGTGGCTCAGTGTCTGAGAGATCTTGGAGGTCTAGGTCTGTTGAGACTGCTGTTCTTCATATGGGGTCACCCTCCAGGAATATGTCTATTAGAAATTGATTTCTTTACCTCTTTAGATGACTATTCCATTAGTTTCCTTTATAACATTGCCCTATTTTGAGGATTTTAAACATTATTGCACAGATGTTTCTATAGATATCTCTAGAATCTAAAAAAGAGCCAATGACACAAAATATTTAAAAGCTATTAGATTCAGCATCTTTTATGTAAAACAGTTAACTACCTGTTAGTCAGCTTCTCACAGCTACTTGTCAGTCCAGTGTGGGCTTTACATTTCACACTCTGTGGTAAGCTGCTGAAAGCTATGTTACAGAAGTATATCTGCTCTTGGTTTGGGGGGATGTGAGGAAATTTATTGCAACTACTAATTGTATCACTTACTTGCACAGATCATTAACACAGCTGGCAATATATAAGTATGGGTCAATGTATTCGTGACAGCTCAGAAAGGGGAACTGTAACAATATCTGGCACTTGAAGAAGATGGCCTGTGCAAAAAAAAAAAAAAGATGCCAATCATTGGAAATTTCACTGGCACACGAGTATGTCCGTTTCACTTGATATGAATCTACTTGTGTAACTCTAAGTTCTCATCAGGCAAGGGCAGATAATTTACACTTATAAAATGCAGTGAACAATGTTCAAGCTATGTATTTTCTAGATGAATTACTGTAACGATGAATCCCATTATCTCCCCTACTTCTGAAATTAGTGTGAAGTCTTTCTATATTGCAATTACATAATCCGAATTCCATAATTTAATTATACTGCATTTGCACTAAAATGCTTAATGCTAAATATGCAAAAATAGATTAGTATTAAGCCCAACATGCTCATTTTTTTTTTATACTGAACTTACCTCAAATGCTGGCATCCCACTGGAACATGGATTTGGAAAGTCTGAGGGAGTGGGGACACATTTAGCATCGTCTGGAGTTAGCACCAGCCAGCTATTTGCAAACATAGCAATGTCTTCTGTGTAGTCCTCTATTGCATTCAGACATAAATACAGTTGTGTTAGTGTCATTTTTCTCAAATCTTATTAAAAACTGTTCTTCAGATTGGGTAAGATGTCTCAGCCACACAAGCATGGGAATACGAGTTTGAGCAGAAGAACCCATGTAAACATGCCAGGCATGCCACCATATCCTTGGAATTCTAATTCTGAGGAGGCCAAGAAAGATGAATTGCTGGGGCTCACTGGCCAGAATGTCAGTCATACTTGATGAGTTCCAGGACAGTGAGAGAGAGAGATTCAGTTTCAAGGGAGGTGGATCGTGTCCCTGAGAACAAAACCTGAGTTGTCTTCTGATCTCCACATGTAAAAGCACTGATGTGTGCACATACCCACCTACACATGCACACAAATATACACACACACAAATGCACATACACACAAAACACATGCCCACATTTTTTTTCAAGTTCTCTATCACTTTGAGAGTAAACAACAACAGAAAATGTATTGAAACCATAAAAACATTTCAGAAGACACACACAGGGGCAATGTGAGACTACAAAAGAATCCAACAAAAGTAAATCTAAGAAGTGAATCAGATTTATCTGAATATTATCAACAGTAGATTGAAACACGGTTTAAAGGGACCCCTGTATTAAGAAACCTAACTGATCCCAGAGTAATTAACGGGACGTATTTAAGAGTTTATATGTAATCTAACAGACAGTCGGTGAACAGCCTGGAATGGATCAGGTTTAAGTTGCTTCACCACCTGGCCTTTAAATAAGTTCAACACAAGATATAGAAATTAATCCTGCCCCAGATTCAGATAAGGCTGAATCTCAAATCTCTAAAACAGAAGGATTTCACATTGAAAGCTTTCAAATTTCTGCCACCCAGACATGATGGTGGCAACAACTGTGCTGATGAATCCAAATCTCAAGGGAAGTTCCCCTGCTCTCCCTGAGCACATTTATGGTATGTGTGGGCTACTAGCAAATGCTGGCTACATTTATTGTTTACAGGAATGCTTTGTTCTTTGTTAACATTCCAAACTTCTCAATAGCCTGAGAGAGTGGGCGGGGGTGGGGGGAGACCTGCCATGCCCACCCTATACCTCCCGACTCCTCTTCCCGATCTAGTTCTTGCACAACCTTCTCCTTGGTTCTGGGAGTTTCTCTTCCCCAACCCAGGGCCCCGTGTCTTCATGGGCCTCCTGCTCGTACAAAACCACTCTTCTCGGATGTTAAGCAGTAAGATTTCAAGACCACAGCTCTCCCTAGCTACAAGTGAGTTCGAGGTCAGTCTGGGTAATTTAGCAAGACTCAACCTCAGAAGAAATGAAGACTGGGATGTAGTTTACTGATAGAGCTCTTCCCTATATGTGCATGGTCCCAGGTTCAATTCCTAAATTAAAGAAGCACTCTTTGGTTGGTCAGTTTCCTCTCTTCGTTTAAGAGTTGTTTAATGTGACTAATATATATGTAACTAAATATAATTTCTAGATCATTGCTGACATTGGCTATCCTATTGTTCTTATCTTGTTTCCCACTTTCTATCAAAGCTTTTATTTGTTATATCTCACAAAAAAATCTTATTTTAATTTGTCCCCTTATTTATCTCACCTTCTATTACAATAAATGAGAGACTGGCTTTACCATTTTATCCCGGTATCCTTTGTTTAATATCAAACACGTAGCTCATGCTCAAACTATACTTACCAAATAAATGAATGGAAAATGTATATGAGTGTTCAATATTTATTATATTCTTGATCATACAAGAATATCTGGCCTCCTTTGTGATCTATGGATTTGCTGGATGTGTTGCACACTGAACAAAACTTGCTCAAAAATACATATTTAAAAGTGATAAAACCCTGATGTTCTCCTTAAGTACTGGTATATATATTTCATTTCAAAGGTACATGCCATATTTGAATGAATAACACTTAGTTTCAAGTCTGAAGAACAAAAATGTTTCCAAAAGTCCCACTCATTTCAACAAAACAGCCTGGGCAAGGACTTGGGGCAGTGTTTCTCAACCTATGGGTCACAACTGTTTTGGCATTCCATATTAGATATCTTGGATATCAGATGTTTACATTACCATTCATAACAGTGGCAAAATAACAGCTATGAAGTAGCAATGAAAGGAATTTTATGGTTGGGGGGTCACCACAACATGAGGAACTATTTTAAAGGGTGGCAGGATTAGGGAGGTTGAGAACCACTGCACTAGAGTTTACACTAGCTTTTGATTCAAGTGTTTAACAAGTTCTACTACATTGAACTAGTAAAAGAGCCATATATGTCATTTATTGTAAAACTTTAAATCCAGATCTATTAGTTCTGAAGCCCACTAAACCTAAATTACAATGCTTCCTATGGGAGATGCTCTAAGTAGAATAATGCCTTGAGCAAGCATATTGGGATGCAATCGTGAAGAATTGCTATTAGTTATCAAGTTGAGAAAAATGGGAGTAAAGCGGGGCCTTTGTGTGGGTGTGAAGCAAGATAAAGACATGAGCTAGGAACAGGGAGTCCTCAGCTAGACAACAAATTAAGTTCTTCCTCCTTGCACAAAAATGCTGAGACGTCTCACTGCTTTGTGAAGTCATCTTTAGAGGATAAGAAGGAACGCAAGGAGAAATAATTTTAATGACTCTTGGGAAGCTGCATAATCCATAGTGTTTCCTCAGACTATCCAACTCTTGATCCAATCGGCAGAGCATGTGCTGAGCTTTAAGCAAACACCAGACACCTTAGAGCTGAAGATGTCAAGCTTGCCTCTGGAAACTCTCCTGTATTTTTACAATATGGGAGAAAATAAAAGACTGGGCTCTTTTTGTGTCCCAACAAGTTATTTTAAATGATTTTGCCTTGCGCTATCTGCCAGACTGTGAAACAGCCAATTGCCTTTCTCTGCTCTTTTGCAACAGACATCCAAGAGTTTGCTTCTCTCCGGAAAGCTCAGCCCTAATCCAGTTTGACTCTGTCAGTCTTCCCAACTGCTTTTCACCTAATAGACTTTTGCCTGTTTCCTTTTACATACTTCTCTGCCTAAAACCATTCCCTGTTCCAGAACTCCTGAGTGGACTGTCCCTGCACACGGATGCCTGGTCCATCTTCCTGACTCTATCCTCACCTCCACACAGGTTCTCTGAATGTCCTGGCAGAAGTCATTCAAAGCAACCTTGTCCAATTCCCACACGAAGAACTGGACTGAGGATTATGTTTTTCATGAAATTTTGATCAGAACAGAAATTAAATCAAGAATAACCATTTGATTGATTGGCGTTAGTTCCAAATATGCCTTCCTAACTAACAGAGTCTCAGGACTCCAAATTTGTAAGCTTTCTCATTTCCAATACCCAACGGATGCAAGTACCATTTCATGTTGCTGCTGATCCTGTACATTTTAATTGTGCTCACGGACTTCTGAGCACTTCCATTTACATTTTCTCATTAGATATTCATGCACTGGGAGTCACTTAGGGCTGTTTCCATTATTTCTATTCTATATATGAGAAAATTGACTCATTGGAGCCAGGCTCTCTAATCTAGCTCTTGGTAAACAAATCCTGATGATAAATTATCCATGGAGTGTGAGTAAAATGTTTGCATTTTACTGAGGCCGTCTTAAAAATGTACTAAGACGTATTTCCACTCCTGTGGGATACCTGGAGACAATTACAAGGTAAATAACATGAACTGAGTATTATCTATGTGATGGGCAATCTACGTGTTTACGAGAAGTGTCTCACTTAATCCTTGACACTCTATAAAAATATATACTGTCACATTGTTAACATTAAAAAGTGTAATACATAGCAAAGCAGAATTTTTATTCCACATCCTGACTTGCAAAATGCATACTCAGGGATGTTCTCTTAACAGCCATTAAAGTACAACATACAGACAGTTATCATTAAGTTTGTAATACAGAACAATATTCTGTAACAAACCAGTTTAAAGGCAATTGTTAGCAACAGTATCTGATTGTGCTTAAGTGAAATAACAACTAATCCATCTCTAATAGAATCAACAGACAGCTGTATTATACTGGATGCTGTGACTTTACTGTAAAATTAAAAAAGTGCTAAACGCCATACAAGATGATATGAGAGTTAGTAACAATGTTGCTATGTGCTCATAATAAACATTATGAGAAATAATGTACATTTTTACTATAACTGATTACTCAATTAATCCAAAATTCCCATATTCCTCTTTCACGGCAACAGAAAGATTCAATGATGCAACTTCAGAAATATGTAAGAGTGGAAGCATGGTCCCAGACCAGCTCCACTGGTACTAAGAATGATGTTCTTTTTCTATATAACCTCTTTGTGTGGGCATGAAACATAGATATGCCCTGTGATTCTCTTACTCTTCAGTAGTCTCCAAACAGAAGTGGACGTTGTAACTAGTGGTTCACTGAGATGAGTTTCATCCCTTAGATTCAATAGATAAGCAGGAAATCATGCCAGCTGCTTTGCCAAGTGAACAATACCGATTTCATTCCATCCTCTCTACAAAACTATTATTTGCCAGTCATTTTACTTTATATTGTCAAAATTGGATACAAAATATCTTTTCTCCTAAACACATTCAAGCCAAAAGGTTTAAATCATTAGACCATGAACTGCAAGGATGGGGAATTTTGTTCACTGTCGTTCCCAAGACCCCACAGCAGTATATTTAGTAGCCATGACACTCCTGTTACAAACTAAATGCTCAATTAACATTTGCTATGTGAGTAAGTGCTACATTTTAACTTAGCAAATGTTGGCAAGTAACCAGAAAATGTTTTCCATCTTGACCTCCTCTTAAAAAGCGCTGAAGTGGATAAATGGTAGCCAAGGATTTTCCACCACCAGTCAAGTATTCTGGATACTATCAACTATAGTTGGCCGAAGAAAGACAACTCTAAAAGGCCCAGTCCTTTCTCATTTTCTAGCTTCTTACCTTGCAGAATCACAAAGTCGTCTGACTGAATGCCATTATAATTTGCACACAAGCCACATGATTTCCCTCTGTGCTCCTCAGATAGTTTGAGATAAATTCCCGATATTCCATCCCAAGCCAAGGAAAATCCAAAAGTCGTTTTCACCAGAATGTAGTCAGCTAGCTTCTCAAAGTGGACCTGCCCAATTGTCTGAGGCAAAGATAAACTGGAAAACAGAGCAATGTGATGCAAGAACTATTGCCAAGTTAAAGTGACACATGCCGTGTTTTCAAGATCACGTGAGTAACGATTAGTGGAAAAATTTTACATAGAATAAATAAGCTATATAGTGAGAACCTTGAAGATTTCATTCTATAGCAGTTCTCAACATTCTTGACAAGTTTAATATATTTAAACAAAAAAACTAAAGAAAGTTCTGCTGATGTAGAGTTAATGTTGACAACTTACTAGTTGTTTCAAAAACCAGAAATATACAGTTATGAAAATTAGGCATGGGACTTCCGGTCTGGGCCTGAGCATAGCGCAGGTCACAGACGGCAGCTCTGTACCCAACCCCAGAAAACCGAGAGAAAGAAGGACTCCCAGGAGCTTTAACTCAGGCAGCATCCCAGGTAAGGAAAAAGCAACACTTGCCCCAAACAGAGAGCAACCGGGACCCACTGGAATCCTGGAATTCGCTCCTGGCCCTGAGCGTGGGTTCCTTCCAGTTTCCACCTGAACACGGAGCAGATCTTGGGCCTCAGCTCTAACCCCAGCAGCAAAACCCATCCCAAACAGTTCTGAAAATTAGGCATGGCCTTTTCAGTGTGGAAACTGGCTCTATATATTTGGAATAATGAGAGTTAAAAAATACTTTTTATCCAGAGAGTCAAAGATAATTTAAAAATTCTGCTCAATAGTTCTGAAGTACAGAAAAGCAATAGCCAAATTATGTGGTGCCCTTGGCTTCTGGTTTGATTTCATTTTATCTCCAACCAAAAAAAAAAACCTAACAAAATGGCATTGCAAAAGCATAGTGAGTCACAAAGACAAGAGAACACTGTGCCTCTTCCATTTATAAATGGGGCAGTAAAGAACAGGTTCAAATCATAAAATAAATTTGAAAAGCTCGCTTTTATTATTAAGGTAGTCATATCAAAATGAAATTATAAACCATGGGGTAAAATAGGTGGTTTAATAGGTATGATCATCATATATATATATATATATATATATATATATATATATATATATATATACTGTAACCATGAACACAAAGGGTTTTTAACATATAAATATTTATAGAAAATAGTTAAAGTAACTATGAATTGTAATTAGATAATAAAAGACTAGTTAAAATGTTATAATTAAAAACCAAATGTAAAGAGTTCATAGTAAAAGTCAGAATGAAATAGCCATGAATGTTTCATGTTTTACAGCTTGCAAGTTTATTTTTAAAAAAATCTGTTTTTTTAAGATAGTAGATCTTAATAATAGTAATGTAAAATATAATTATATTTTACACTAATGAGATGCTAATCTGTGGAAAGTGTAGCTCTGGTGAATGGGGATTTTGTTTGCTTCTGTTAGTCATCTGTATCAGTCAGGACTCTTTCAATGCAAATTTAATTAAATACATATTTTTAAGATGAGGTGATACAAGGAAAATAGATTGCAATCAGCCTAAGACATACTCGATGCAGAATGTGTGTGAGGTTCTGATTTCAGATTGGAACTGGAAACAGTAAAATATAAGCAGATAGAAATGCTCAGATTTATGCTAAGAAAGTACCCAGGACTTCTAAACCAAAACTCCTTACTTCACAGTTCAAGTAACTGAAAGCCAGGGAGGGAAACGTTACACACATTTGACCTCCTTGGACCTCTCTCAAGAGGAAATAAGAAAAAGGAGAAGAAGAGAAAAGGGAAGAGGAGGAGAGGAGGAAGAAGAGGAGAAGGGAGAAGAAGAAGAAGAAAAAGAAGAAGAAGAAGAAGAAGAAGAAGAAGAAGAAGAAGAAGAAGAAGGAGAAGAGGAGGAGGAGAAGGAGGAGAAGAGGAGGAGGAGAAGGAGGAAGAGAAAGAAGGAGGAGGAGAAGAAGAAGAGAAGGAAGAGGAGGAGAAGAAGAAGAAGAAATTAATACATGAAACACTGCCAAATAATAAATTCACCCTTCACCTATCAGAGAACTGGAATTCCTTTCACAAGTGTTTTCTTAATATTGAAATCAATTATGCCTTCCATTTAACAAACGATTAGTATTGAAATTTTTTCTGAAGAAAATTCATTTTACAAAACACAATCATTGTAAGTTGACATTACCTAAAAATTCAAATGAAAATTCATCAAAGCATGTAAATTTAGCTCTAAGAAATGCATGCTTAACTATTTTATCTTTCCATTCAAATATTCAGCTTTCTTTTATAAGAAAATAATCAAGTATACTCTTTCTTTCTCCGTCTCTCCATCTGTCTCTTTGCCTTTCTGTCTGTCTCTCTCTCTCTGTGTCTCTCTATCTGTTTTTCTGTGTGTGTCTCTCTCTGGTTCTCCAGCTCTCTGGATCTCTGTCTCTCTGTCTCTGTCTCTCTCTGTCTCTCTCTGTCTCTCTGTCTCTTCCTCTCTCTCTCTCTCTCTCTTTGGCTTTCTCTCTCTCCCTCCTCCCTCTGCTCTGTGTGTGTGTGTGTGTGTGTGTGTGTGTGTGTGTGTGTGTGTGTAAAACACATTTGTATAATATGTATGCTATTTTTGGCATATACTGCTGACCTTCTCTCCTTCTCTGTTAAAGTCCTTGTTCAAATCTATACTGACAACTAAAACTTTAAAAACAAACAACTTTCTTTAAATAAAATAACAAAAAATAATAAGAAAACAATACACCCAAAAATCTGGGCCCTCTGGTACATGTCTGTTTCTCCAGCACTCAGAGGGCTAGGGCAAAAGGACTCCTGTGAGTTCTTAGTCAGCCTAGTCTACATAGCAAGTACAAGGCCAGAAGAGAAGTATGGTAAGACATTGTACCAAAAACAGAAAAGGCATTAAAAAATAAATAATCTCCAAAGTGGGTGAGGGTTGCTCCTGGTTGTAGAATTGACATGACACTCCCTGAGGCTTTGTTGAAAGCCCTTCTTACAATGATGCTCCTGCTCTGAGCTGACTCCTCATGGAAGGAAAGCAGCATCATCAGTGTGCTCCATCCCAAGGAACCCTGTGGCTTACACCCCCAGCAGTGAACTCTGAATGATGGATAAAACTGTTCCATCTCACTATTTACTTTTCCTGGCATAGCTCGGCTAGGAAATGTTTAAAACTGGGTGTCTTTGTAATTATTTAGATTGGAAAGGAAATTATTCCCCATGAATCCTAGTTGTAACTGTACAAAATCTCTGTCTAACATAAACATACCCTTCCCCAAAACTCTCAGGTCATATCATTGGCAGGCAGGAAGCCACAGTGACTGCACTGATCTACCAACAAGGACAGCTATTTACTGGCTCAGAGTCTTTGTCAGGGCTTCAATAGAAACTCTCAAGTGACACCCAAGCCTCATTCTCTCAGACTTGAAAGGACTTCCAGAATCCTTTGCAAAGGAAAATAAAGTCAATTTTTGTAAGCTGTGCTATAAAGGAAAAGAGAAAATATTGAAGAAGCCAAAAGTAATTAGACTTGAACTACATAATAATAGCTCTTGATGATGTCCTCTGGAGAACACAGCACTCCTGTGTGCATCTCTGCAAACCTACCTGCATCATACACACTTGCATGTGAACCCACTAGATTCCTTGCTGCCTGGGGAGCTACGGTACACTGAAGGCATGATGTCTCTGTGATACTCCTGTAAAAGTCAGCTGAAGAACAAGTCCTCCCCTCCTCCTCCCTGTAATTCACTTCCTGTCTGAGACATCTAAATTTTCAATTAATCTCTGGTGTCACGTTCATAGACCATTTTACCCTCATCTTACCTGAGCCCATTCTTTCTTATTTCATGTCCATAGATTCTAATTTCCTCTTGATTTGAAAAAAATAAGCTGATGGAGCGATAACATGAATACACAGAACCAAGGCACTTTGGGCTGTTATGGACCTGGAAGAGAAAGAAAGAAAGAGAGAAGGGGGGGGAGGG